AGGGGCTCCCGAGGCTGCCGCTGCTTTCGTGGTGTCGGCTTCCTCCGAAGTTCAAGGTTATGCCCTTGTGCCCATCAGGAAAAAGAGTTTGGCAAAATAGCTGGAAGGGAGCAATGTATTTGCTTTTTATTTTCTCCGCCTTTTCCCGCTGCACTGGCAGGCTTCCTCCTCTGCATTTGTGAGGGAAGAAAATTAGGCAGAGAAAAAGGAGGAGGAACGAGGTCAGGAAGGAAAGGAGAGAAAGTTGGCTTGCTTGCAGGGAGGTGAAGCTTTTCAGTGTTTCCCGCTGCATTTTTCACTGGAGTCCATTTTTTCACAGAGCTGGAGGATGGAAGCAGAGCTGCCGTCTGGTTTCACAGCGATGTCCCGTGGGGAGAATGGGAGCACCCCCTCAGAAACAGACACAGTCCTGCTGCCTCCTGCACGGGGCACGGCCATGCTCACCATCCGCTGCGTGATCCCCTCGCTCTACCTGCTCATCATCACTGTGGGCTTGCTGGGCAACATCACACTCATGAAGATCTTCATCTCCAACAGTGCCATGAGGAGTGTGCCCAACATCTTCATCTCCAGCCTTGCTGTTGGTGACCTACTGCTGCTGGTGACCTGTGTGCCTGTGGATGCCTCTCGGTATTTCTCCGAGGAGTGGCTTTTTGGGGAGGTGGGCTGCAAGCTCATCCCTGTCATCCAGCTCACTTCCGTTGGGGTCTCTGTCTTCACCCTCACTGCTCTGAGCGCCGACAGGTAGGAAAGCCGGGCTGCCCCTTCCCAGCTCTCTGTGGCTTGGGCTGAGGCTGGCCGGAACTGGCACAAAAGCTAAGGGACCCCCTCGACAAGTTTTCCCCGGCTTTCAAAGTCCTCACTCTGACGCATGAGCTGCTCACACTGCTCTTTCCCTCACTGACTGATTGCCTGTCTGGTAATAAGTTAAAAGGCCTCTGGAAGCAGATGCATCTGCAGCACTGACTTCCAAGGCACAACCTGTGGGAACTGGAATGTAGTCCTGGCTTCCAAGCTACACTGACATGTCAGGCAGACATGTCAGATGACATGTCAGCTGACATGGCAGCTACACTGACATGTCAGATATTTTTAATAGGTTTGTTTCTTTCTACAGAGAAAGTGTCTATGTGTGTGTGTGCGGAAGTCTGCATATGTGTGTGCACCTTACCAGGATAACAAGTCACTAGAGGTGACTTGTTTAGCTCTCTGAATTGAGATCCACCAAAATGTTTTGTTCTAATTATCACTCCTAAACTTCCAGATCATACTATGCATTTCAGTTTCTCCTGACCACATGGGAAAGGGAAAAAATACATAAAGAAACACTTCCACTTCTAGTATCTCTCAATTTAGGAAGAAACAAAGACCTGTACCCCAAGCTTTTCCTCCCAATTAATTTAAATGGACATACTTAAGGGTCTTCTATTAATTGGAGAGCTGTGGGATTGTGCTTCAGGCTGCGAAAGACAAAGTATTAAAATGTAATTGACAACCTTAAATTAAATTAAATTATCTCTTTTTCCCCGCTTATCTAAACAGTTTCATTTCAGACAGAAATGAAAATGTTAAATTCCTTCTTTATAGGAAGTGTCTCTTTTGTTGTTGTTGTTGAATTTTTAACAAAACAAATTTTTGTTACACTGGCCTGTTATGTAAGGACTTAAATATGATAATATTTCTTCAAGCTTACTGTAAAGACTTCTTTGGACTTTTAACTCTTTATTTACGGAGTATGCTCTCGTGACATTTCTTTTTTAAAGCCAATTCACTAAATCGTTTGATTCCATCTAGGAGTACTATTCAGTGACCCTCAATTTCAGTAGTATTTAAATCAGAATCTGTGATACTTGTGTGTAAAAGCCTTATAATATATGTAGATGGATTCAAATTTTTGAAGAACAGATCAAAGAAATACTTTAAAGTGTTTGGGAATCCCTGATTACTTCAGTTAAGAAGTATACCTCAAACTGTCCTTGGAGAACCAAGCAAATCTTGAATTTTTCTTTCTGCTTTATTGCCACCGTTTAGAAGTGTGATTATGGAATCTTATTTCTAATGGGAAGAAATTATTTGCAAAGAAAATCTTATCTCTAGTTTAATACAATGAGAGGAAATAGTGGTGTCTGCGTGTTTAAGTAGATTTGAGCTTCCATTTTTGCCTTTTGTACCTAATTTTGTATTCTTGTTTTCAAATCAGTTAAATTTTAGCAGCTAATAATGCTCAATCTGTGTACAGTGTATGCATTCAGAATTGCATATTGTAGACAGCAGCTACAGATGGTCTAATGTGATCATATAAACTTATAATAAATATAAGCTCCTCCAGCATTTTGGAGTCCACACTATATACAAATATCAGAAATGACTATATTAAGGACTTAATATCAGAAATGACTATACTAGGGACTTAAAGACTCTGTTTTTATACTCAATAACTGGAAAATTAACAAAAGAGGAAAAAGAAATATTGTTCTCCCATTCAGAGGGAATAACCATTGACTTACATGAACCGTATCTTTTTGCTAGGGAGTTCGATTCTCAGTGAAGCTGGCTGGACTGTTGGGTTGTCTTAATGGAATTTGAATTGGATTTTTTTTTTTTTTGTACAACTGAAATTTGTGCTGAACTAAAGAAGAGGCATTGGGGCTGAGGGTTTTTTTTTTTTTGTACAACTGAAATTTGTGCTGAACTAAAGAAGAGGCATTGGGGCTGAGGGTTTTTTTTTTGTCACACTAGTTTGTAGTTAGATGCTAACAGGGATCATCCTGACAAGGTTTAGTTAGGGAAAACAATATGCATAATTATGTTAGCAAATAAGAAGTGAATGCAGCTTCTGAAAGCAAAGAGGTGGTGAGAAGGTAAGGCCTGGCTTGGGCCAGTAGCATCCCTGAGTAACTGAAGCTACTATGGGAATTGTAACTGCAACTGGGAAGCAAGGATATGGCTAAAAAGGTTCTATTATATTCCAGCACATGTTCTGTCTGGTATGCAATAATGTCCTCTCACTGACAACTTTCACAGAGAGTGTCCAAAGTAAGTTTTAATATCATTAAAATTGTTTCTATATTTTACTTGTTATTGCACAGAACTTTAAAGAAATGCAGACATGGATTACACTAAAGAAGATATTATATATATATAATAAATATTTATTTTTTGTTTCAAAGTGGAAAATAAAATTCTTTCTAAAGTTCTACAGGCATAAGCACTAAAAAGACACAATAGACAAATATTTAGTGTCCTATATAGTGTGCCTACCTGAATTAAGAGAATGGAGGATGTCTCTTTCTACAGTGTTATTAGCACTTATATTTAGGAAATTCTTTATTGGAAATTTTGTATAGCAAATTACAGGCATGTGATATATATAGCAATAATTGTTCCAGTAGCAATAATTTCTGAACTACCATCACCCACCAAAGGAAGCTGTAAGAAAGAAATGATAGTACTCCTTGAATATATACCTTTTCTAAAGTTATTTCCTATGGCTTTTTGTCACAGATGTCCCTTTCAGCATCACTAGCTCTTTCAGTGTGACTAACATTCACTTTCTGAGAACTTCATAAACTGAGTTTGTTTATTTTTGTGCATGGATACTCTATGACACTTATAGCAGTGCTTCTAGACTTCCCTAGGAAACACTGTTTAAAGTTAAAATAGGCAGCACACAGTGCACCTGCCTAAAATCTTGCCCCCATTTCAGGCAACTGGTGAGAGTGGTGGAGACTCCAGTCTGGCGGTAGAGATGATGCAGGGGCGGTGGTGGTACTGGCAGAGAAATGTGTTGGTGTCAGAGGGGGAAGCAATCCTCCTCTGGCAGGGTTGGTGGTACAGGAAGGCTGTGGAGGTTCTGCTGCACCAGCTGTCACATATCATTGCCACGTGGGAAAGGGAAAAAGAACAGCATTTCTTCTCATTGTGGCCATTGCTGCTGTTCATTTTCCTCCATTGGAGAAGCAAGAGCACATCCCTATAAACCTCAATATTTCTTTGGTTAAAATCCCAAGACTTATAGGTGATGATATATGAGAAAAAAAAAAAGAAAAAAAAAAGAAAGGAATTGAGGGACAAAAAGAAGAAAATAGGGAACAAAAGGGGGACAGGGACCCCCAGAGCTGTGGTAGGAGAAGGAAATGGAAGTGGTGTTCCTATAATGATTCCTTCTCATGGTGTTGTGGAGGGCTGTTTTTGTCAGGGCTAATGGGTGTTGGTGAAAAGGTCCTCGGACTAGGTGTGCTCTTGGATCAGGAGGTAAGTGGTGAGAGAATAATAGGCAGAAGGATTTCAGTATGACACACTTGAAGAAAAGGCATGCCAACATCTCTTTCTTACTAAAGAAAGGGCACAGTAAGGAATGAACCTAACTTGAGCAATGCTTGCCTTGAACCATATGATGAACTTGTCCACTGCGTCAAGGAGACTTTTTCAATTACAACCATAGTGCAGCTTGAAGTTAGCTCAGAATAATAAAGTGAGGCTCCTCACTCTCTTCTTGGGGTAAAAGATCTTACCAATTGTGGCAGGAGAAGGACTAGGGTGAGGAAGTGAAGAACTAGTATGAAGACATGTTTCCAAGGCGGTGTTCAGAGATAGAGGGCTGGATTTCCCATAGTTTGTTGTGTGGAGAGGTGGCTGGAGAAAAGTCTTTTAAGACTTTTAGACTGCCACAGCACACACCTCCTAGCATGTATTCCTCCTAAAAAGTGTGACAAAAAGACAGCCTGGAATACTTGAGTAATCTAATAACAGAATTTTTCACTAGTGACACCACTACATTTCTATATTTTAATAATAAATGTTCTACTTAAATAAATAATTATGGTTCCTGAGATATTTAAAAATGTGTTCTGTAGGTTTAAATAGCTGAACTATATGATCCAATTATTGTTTTAATTTTTTATTTGTTTTAATGTTGGAAGATTGCATTTTGTAATGCAAAAGCATAAAGATACTCAACAAAAGTTTGATGCAGGTTTAATATTATATTATCTACATCTTGACTTCAAAAAACTTTACCAGCTAAGTCTGCATGTATACTTTCTCCTGTTTTTCTGGAGACTCAAGGAAATAGTTTGAACACATTCAGAAGTATGAAAAGGGTAATGAGTTTAGAATTTTTGGTCAGCAAAAAAAAAGCCTTTAATAAAGATGATTTATTGCTCCTCTTCAGAATTCTTTTAAAATGTTGATCTTTTGGTTTGTAACATTGTGATTTAGGCTGAAATACAGTGATGAAAAGCCCTTTAAATCCCTCATTCCTCATTACATGCAGTGGAGCAGCTGAAGCAGGAAGGTGTACACGGTTTCCTTTTGAAATCTAACATCCAACATTTAGGGATAAAAAAGCCTTGAGAAGGAAAGTACCATTAAATGACATCCTGACAACTACTTATGATTAACCAAGCAATAAAGAAAAAATAATCAAAAGTAAAACGAAAGACTAACTGAATAAAAGGAAGATAAGGGCTTGATTGTACATAATAAACTGGCAAACAAAATCATATGGAGTCTGTAAGTAAAGAAGATATTTTCTACCATTCATAACATTTTAGCTTGAACTACCATTTAAAAGAAATAGCATTCATTTTTCAGACAGTGTCAATTGGATAACTGGGATTTGCTTGTATTGTGCTATTACCTCTTCTCTGCCTTGTTTTTTAGATAAACTTAGTTCAATTATCTGTTCTCCTTCTTAGGAGCTATTCAAAACCCAGCTGGATAAGATCCCATGCAATGTGCTG